CGTGGATTGATCTAAACAATTTTTATTATATATTATATTATTTATTCGATTTATTTTTCTTCTCCAACTAACTACAGTCTTACAAATGTTAAATTATATCACATTTAAAATTAACCATTAGAAATGATATTTTTTTAATTTCATTTCTCTATGGTATACATATCAAAATGTAGGATATGTCATTGTAGATCTTTTACCTTTCTCTCTTTATTTTTTTTTTTTTTGGTCAAAAATTATTGGTCGGATCCCAAACTATGTTGTGCACATTATTATAACTAGTACAGAGCCCGTGCGATGCACGGGGTGCACAATTTTAAGATATTTATCCAGCCTTATAATTATATAAATGAATAAATAAAAATGTACGGGATATATATAGTGCGTGACCTGTGCGAGGCACATGATATATTTATTTGGGGATTATTATACTATAAGATGCAATATTCAATAAATGTTTTATAATACACGAAAATAAATATAAATAATGTAAATATCTAAATACATACACGATATGTAGAATAAAAAAAGCCAAATTACAAATCTGAAAATATAATTAAAAAAAATAGAAAATATATTTAACTAAACATGTATAAAAATATCTAAATACATACACGAAAAAAAAAATTTAAAAATATACGTTTCAAATTTCAAAATTAAAATAAAAATTCAAATAATTCAAATAATTTATTTTGAGATTTGTAATTTATAATGGGTAGAGTATTGCTGTTAATATTTTTATTAGAAAATCTGAATCTGAATATACAGAAATCGGTTTGAACAAAATCAGAACATATTTCCATACAATTAGATAATAAATTAAATAATAAATAAAGTCTTTTTTATTTTAGTAAAGATTTTACATACTTTTTTTTACTTATCGAATGTTATGGGGTTTTTTTGTTAATCAGATTTTATGGGATATAATACAAATACAATTAGAGGATTGAACAAAATCAGAACAAATTTCCATACAATTAGATAATAAGAAGGAATTAGATAAGGAAAAAAAGAAGAAATTAGATAAGAAATTTTGAATTTGCCTTTTTTTAGTATAAATAGACTTTACGTACAAATTTTGACTTCACCGATTTTATGGGAATTGTTTTGACAAAATCGATGTTAATATGAAATAAGACAGATAAATAAAGTCTTTTTTATTTTAGTAAAGATTTTACGTCCCTTTTTTTTTACTTATCAGATGTTATGAGATTTTTTTTCTTAAACTGATTTTATTGGATATAAGACAAATAAATAAAATAATTAAATAAAATTATGGATAGAAATAGCAATGC